GAGCTGGGTAACGGAATCGACGACTTTTGCGTTCTGACGCCCCTTATCAGCCCTTATCAGTTGTAACCACTTTCTATCACCCATCAACAATGTCCCCGTCCCACCCCACATAACACTTGTAAGTATGGACGCTCTAGTGTCAACGCAAGCTGCGTAACGGAATCGACGACTTTTGCGTTCTGACGCCCCTTATCAGCCCTTATCAGTTGTAACCACTTTCCATCACCCACCAACAATGTCCCCGTCCCACCCCACATAACACTTGTAAGTATGGACGCTCTAGTGTCAACGCGAGCTGGGTAACGGAATCGACGACTTTTGCGTTCTGACGCCCCTTATCAGCCCTTATCAGTTGTAACCACTTTCTATCACCCACCAACAATGTCCCCGTCCCACCCCACATAACACTGTGAGTATAGTCGCTCTGGTGTCAACAATTCCATTACTGAAGATTACCCTGAGCTTTCTGCTTGATCCATCTCCTCCTCTTCTTGGTGATCCACGTGCACTCCCATAAGCTTGACGAGCTGGTACTGGGGGTGCACGAGTTTGGTCATCTCCGGGGACACTGAAAGATTTGTAGTAATCACAGCCGTTCTGCAGCACCATTTAGTAGCAAAACTCAGAAATCTGCTTAGGATTATACAGCTGTAATGTGGCGTCAAAATAATTGCGCTTCTTTTGCTACTTGGGGGTCAGAGTCGTTTGTCAGTCGTAGCGACGTTTACCCGTACATCATACTATATTAGACCAGAGTTTTTGTCTATCCGCTGTCTATTCCCATAAATTCGCGAGCGCCCCACAAGTTTGTAATTGTTGCTAGGGGTTAAGTTTGAAATAATTATAGTATGTATAAGTTTAACACGTTGACGACATTGTGCAGCGCATGCGCATCACACCTTGAGCACCGTGTGGGACCGTGTGCAGCGCATGCGCTGCACACACAAATTATTAATTTTTTTCGCGCATGCGCTACTTCTTTTCTAATTTTTTGCATCTATTCTATAGACCACACCATAATATGACTAGACACGGCGAGGTTCATTGGTTGAATATGCTCCTTTTTAGCGAAGGTTTTCCAAGTCCTACGAATTTCCCAATTGTGTTCATTCCTAGTTTTCCTTTATATTCTGACAATCTTGGTCATAAAAAAGAGTAGTAGAAGTAAGTACAGACCTACACATATAGCAAGATATATGTTTTTAGTGGAGCAACCGCGTCAAAAATAATTTTGAGGTTTACTACAGCAAAACCTGAAACTTGCCTTTTCATTGCCAAAAAAAACGTCAATTGAATGTTTTGCTTTTTCTCCTCACTAATGTTCCTCATTGCACCCCTTGCCTAATGTTTGAACAAAATAACGCATCAATTCAATCCCGACTCATGCCTTTAACCGCTAGGCGTTAAAAGTGCGGGAGCGATAGGAGTACAGATATGTTTTCGCCAACTTCAAATACTCGGCTCTAAAGGTGAACTTACAAAGAGATCTAATGTGACTAATGTGACCATACGGAAAAGATACCTCGCGCCACATGATACGAAACGTTATCACGGCGTAGCGGTTAATTCAAGAACCTGTGGTTAGAGGAGCCGTGGAGCAAGCAAGTTCGGACGACTGGTCCAATACGCTCCCTTTTTTATCTCAGGGAGCCCTCGTTAGAGGGTTCCATCGGGGATTTGCTTTTTGCTTTTTGCTGATTTGCTTCTTTTTTTCATTTTTAGTTGATCACCCACAACTTGGTTATCTACCGTTTTTACCCCAGCAATTTGATCTGGAGGTCTTGCTTTTAACATCCGAATTATAGGCGTCACTCAAAAGGAGCACTCTAATTTTTGATGCTCAATTCCAGAAATACAGTGTACGCTAAAATCAGTTGCACAGAGTTACAGCGTTTGTTCCGTTATAATTTGGAAGCGATAAGTGTCACATTCCTATTAATCTCACTTGTCAGCGTCGTTTTTCAGATGAATTGGACTTTTTTCTCCGAGTTACGAACACTTAGATGAGCGCGCTTGGTTCCTGTGCGGGAGCAATAGCCGAAACACTCTCAGTGCGCAGTGGAAGTGTAGAGTTCACCATGAATTAAAGTACTCCGGAGCTATGAAATACCAATGAGAATGGCGGACACCACCAGCTGCAACTTTCACGGAAAATGGTGAAGTGGTATGATATATGGTGCAGCCCCATCCGGCTAAGTCGCTAACAGACATAGTCAACAAGCTGGAAACAAAGCAATTTCTTAAGGTATTATATTGCTTTGCTTCGGATTAATTGCTGCTAAAATGTCTCACTCCATGCTTCGTCCATAAGGATAATCCTTTGCGAGATCTCAAGGATGTTTTTCGAACGATTGCGCCATTAAAGGCAAGATTTAGAACAATTTTATGAGGTAGTTCCACTCAAATGTGAAAGTAGGGGTGGGAGGTGGACCGCCAGTGGAGAAAAAGGAAAAAATCGTGAAATACACAGGAAATACGAGCCTTTTGCTCTACGCTGCGGAGAAGTTCAAAAGGCCGGCAGGGAGATGAGAGATAATGTGAGCGCGGAGAGCGCTAGAGAAGTCCGAGTAAGAGAGAGCATAGCAGATCAACATTCGACGCAGAAAATATCGAGCGTTGGGAGGAGCGTGCCCCAAAGTGGCGGAGCTCGCCAAAGGCCTTGGCGGCGTCTAGAGTCTTAGTGACGTGTTTTGATGCAGGAACGTGACGCGTCTCCTGCAGTTGCGTCCAACGCACTTCTGGCCGCTCTAAGCGCTTATTAGTGGGTCTGACGAAGTTAGCCTCTGATGGTGGCCTTTTTCTGAAATGTTGCTCAAAATGAACTTAATTTGCGATCCTCAAAATGCATGACTTGACTTTCTTGTCTAGGAATCATGGGAAGCTGACGATCGATGGAGAATTTCGCATAAATTTAACGTTGGGGAAGTAACAAAATCATGGTTTAGGCTGCGATTGGCAATGAAGTCATGTTCTTCCCACGTCTTCAAGAAGGATATACTCCACATCATGGAGTCTGATTAGGCGTGGCTCTGCGGCTTGAGTGGCACCCGATTGATAGCAAGTTGCCTGATTAAGCTGCGGTCTAGCATACATTATACGAAGTTATACGAGGAGTATGTTAGAAAAAGCTTATCCACACGATTTTATATCAAATGCGACGACGGCCACGTTAATCTTAGACACGGTTTAAAGGCACGAGTCAGGCTTAGTGGACCAAACCAATCCCTTTTGTCGTCTTTGTGCATGGCTACGCACCCACAGAGACGTTACCATGCTCAGAATCCCAAACGGCGCCGTAATAAGGCCCAGGGCACGTATTAAGCGCTATCGCCGCCTGGCCCGCTACGACCGCCCACCTCGGGAAGTGGTGCGTGGCTGGCATAACGTGTGAAATCAGCTAGGTTGATTGCCGTATCAACCGATAGAACGACTGACATCTCCAGAAAACTTGTTTGTACGTGCCTCTTTCCCAAGCCAGCCTCCTTCACTGCTAGTGGGAAAGAGGGTTTTGTTAACGGCCTTGTCGACGGTTTTTCTCAGTTTTTTCTCCACTGTCGTTCCACTTCGCATCTCTATACTCAGTTTCAATCGCCATAATACCCCCTTATTGAGCCCGACTTTTGCCTTTAATCTGACTTCGAGATACGGACTGTACTCATACGACAGCATAGGGTGATCTGGGAGGTGTGCTTAATTTCACTTCTCTGTACAAAATCACAAAACAGATTCGGATCGTTCGTGTTTTAGTGGGGTGCAACACTAGCTAGTACATCAAGGTGACATCGCAGTATGTTTTTTCAGTCTTTAGATAGGAAGGCCTGCTCGTTAGAACACTACCCAGTCGCAGCTCAGATAATAAACATCTCTAGGTTAAAAAATTGCTTCGGAGCACCTACACGCCACGATGTACTTTTTACAAGTAATGTCAGATGCCCGGTGCGAGAGAGGCACTGAGAAGCAGGGTTTGGTCACGCCAATCCATTCGTAAACTTCTCTTAGATAGGAAGCCTTCAAATTGTTGTTTTACAGCTCTTGCAAGAGCGGAAATTTGAGCAAGTAATTTTGGCGCACTCTGTATCCACTGACGGCGGCCACCATGAATATCCCAATGCATTCCTGACCGATACGCTATCGCTAACTTTACAAGAAAGTATACGCATTTTTAATTCTTGGGTGTCACCCAACTGGGTAACCTTGTCGACGGTCTCCTATGCCTGAAACTGTCTTTTGAAACCCTCAATATCAAAGAAAAGAGGCCTATTTCGTGAGTTTTCGTGTTTTTCGTCCTCCTTAATGTTATCATTTCCGCTTCTCAGCTTATTTCCAAGCGATTCAAGTACCCACATAGAAATCTGTCTTGTTCATTACGTACGGTTACGGCGAAGATAAGGAGATGAATTTCTGAACTGTGCCACTACCTGTTGCGGTATGCACTTGCACCCGCAACGTCCTTCTTGTTTTGGTCATCGCCTGTCAGTGGGAGTGGCCTTTCCCTCGCTCGGACCGGCAGTTGAGGAGTCTTAACCGACAGCTGGAGCGCCGTCTATGTGGGCTGATTCCACTGACAAGCGGATCAACCCACATAGATCGGACTGTACAAGAACTCCATTTTAATCACTTTGTAACCGTTTCGGAAATAAGTATATAATTCAAATGAGTTCTCGAAAGAAAATAGAAAGGGCCGTGACACTACCAAATGTCCTTTTTAGTGAGAATAAAATTACTGTCGAATTGTTCAGGATAAAGGCGGGTGAAGATTCGTAGTGCTGTACCGTGCGCGCTACATACCTGTAGAAAGTGTGGTAGGCGATCGAAAATTAATTTGCCCAAGTTTTTTTGCTGCTTGTGTAAAGTGGTAATGGCGGAAGCATGCCAACTTTTTTCAGAGCGAGTGAGCAGTTCGCGAAAGTTCCTTGCAAGGGACACCTTTCTTTGTCAAATCAGGTTTCTGGACTACATGAATCGCAGGAATCTAAGAGTAAAAAGTAAGGAATCACTCACGTATGTCTGATGAACTTTTTGAGGATCCATGCCACGTCTTTCATGAGTGGTCTCTGTTCTGGGACTGGGTTCCAGCAAGCAGCAACAATTATTCTTATTTCCATAGGCATAACATTCGACAACGGCGGCCGGAATTTTGGCTCAGACAGCTATGAATGAAATTGTTAGGAGACTATTCTTTTGGGCTTGACTCAGCAACACTAACCCGTTGCCTGACGGTTTTATTAGAATATTCATCAAAAGGTTGTTTTGCGTCATTGAAAATCTCCCAAACCAGAATTCCGTAAGAGTAGACATCACACTCTTTTGTGTAAAGCAACGTGGCCACCACTTCTGGAGCCTGCCTTAAAAACTTTCTCTCATATCATTTCCGTAGAATTGCGAGTCTTATTCAGAGCCTGTGTCCACAAAAGTAGACTTAAATGAAGCGATTACGATAAAGGGCGCATCGCGGAACCACATGAAGCAGTTACTTGGCTGCCAGGGAAGCGAGGTGTGGCGCTTTCACGACGAAAGGTGCGCTGGTTGCTGAGCAGGACTTCGAAAGCACTCCGCCCCCAAAAGCGATCCGCCCACTAGTTTAGTTGTTTGTTGGACGAGCTGCGTTGCCAACAGCGGCACAGCTGGATCATCTCGCTTAACCCTTCGATTACTGCTAGACATGTGTACCACGTAGTCAAAGTCACTACCACAATTTTGGGACTTATTGAGATCGGAGGCCCGCTTGATGGCGGAATTGTGCACAAATAGAAACTTATAATTTTTACTCTGTCACCAAATCGTCACAAGTCAGAAGCGAGTTACCCTGGATAAGTTAATAAGCAAGTCGTACCACAGGTCACTGGACAGTGTGCGCAGCTCCCGAAAAGGTAGTTTTTAAGTCACACTCTTAATACTTGTGTCTGGTTCTAGTGTTTCCCTCAATTATTGTATCAGGTGAAACATAAGCAAACCGATGACGGATGGAGGCATTTTATCGGCCGCAAGCCAGTCAGAGGACGACAGCGTTTACGACTGCGTTGGAGAATTCCAACCTCCAAGGGTTGTCAGTTCGGATTGATGCAAAGTGGTAGTAGAAGACTCCTATGATGACGCAGATCCCGAATATAAAGAACAAAGAAAATTCGTCAGAGCAGAAGCAGCCTGTAGGCAGTGAAGCAGCGCTTTTACAAAGTGCGGCTTGCAATTCTTTTCAAGTGCGTTCCCAACCGGACATTGCCTTGTTCCACGAATGAGATGTGATAAAATGTGTATTTGTTGAATGGTATTTGAACTGTTCAAAAATGCTCATTCGAGCGGAGATGGTGTGGTGACAGGAGGGGCCACTGCCGCGCATATGGTCTCTGGATCGAATCCCAGCTCAAACCCAGCGCGCGTCAGCCAAATTTCTACAGATGATTAGTTGTTGCTAGGAGCGACAGCTACTACACAAACACATCGATCCCTTTTTTTGAAAAGGTCTCAGTCAAATTGTAAGGGTAAGCGAGTTGGCATGATGCCATCAAACGCGTTGTGGTGAGTTCATTCATACATCCGCTTTCTGAGCTGTTACCTGTTCATGAGTAAAAACTAACGGCCAAAAAAGGGTCCCGTTTTGCGTTTTCTTGACGGATTTTCTGCTTTTTTCGCCACTGGCGTGTGGTTGAGCACCACCATGTCTCTAACCCCCTTCTTGCATCTATCGTAATCGCTGCTTTTAATGTCTCTTCTACCTAATAGGCTAAATGCAAAAAAAAACACAATAAAGAGAAGATTTTATTGTGAAGGCAGTGATCAAGATGTTGAGCGATTTTCGATGACATCAATGAACTTCGTTGGTTGACCAGATCTCGCACGCTGGAGCGTGCATTGAGACCGCTTCTCAACGCCCTTCCACCAGTGACGCTCAATGACGTCATCAGAATCGCTCCACCACCCAGCCATCGCGTTCACAGCCTTGAAGTATCTTGCGGTCCCATACCATTTCACCGGTATCCTTTCAGATCCTCGTATTCTATACTTGTCTGCTTGCTTGGATAAACCGAAATCTGATATTTTAACAATGTTCCTCTGATTATCAATTAAACAGTTTCTGCATGCCAGGTCTCTGGAATTTAATATGATTTAACACAAATTCCGTTTGATAGAATGTAACTTTTGCAATTTGAAGGATGTTAACGTTTTCCTAGCTGAAGACAATCTCACTTCGTGCGAAATGTTCGAGTAGGTGCTGTGGGGTTCTAGCAGGGTCGCTATCAGAGTTTAAAAGGGTACGCACGTAAACATACCCGTTGTTCCTAAAAGGAAGGAGGCTTCAGTAGGGCAAAAACCAACACTACTTCCTTGGAAATCACGTTAAAGGCGGAGTTACGATGGCTGCTCATCGTAATCAAGGTAGAGGTGGTTAATGGTGCCGTTATGGAGAAAAAACTATGAGAAGCGGTCAAGAATCCGAGAAACGAGGGTAAGCTTCATATTTTTCTACCTTCGACATTAGCGGAACCCTCTCATAACACAAATATTCGACTCGGGACATCAAGGACGGGTGACGCGAAATGGTTCATACACGGAAATGAAGTTAAGAGAGGAGAAGGGTGCAACTATGAGGAAATAAAGCTAAGGGAAACTGCTCGAAATATATTTAAAGCGAGAACATTGTTTTTGCCGTGAATCTCGGGGAGAGTCATATCACTGCTGACGTCACCAACGTTAGCTCTTCAATCTGGTCCTCTAATAAAATGTGTAAAATGGTCTTGTAAGCAGAGGACCAGCAACTCAGGAAGCCAATCGGTAGGCCAATCGGCGAAATCACTGAAAAGGTCACGGAAGGGCTTGCCAGGTCGTCAAGCGCGTTCTTTGCCTGCGGAAGAGCTACAATTCGTTTCCTCAGAACAGACGTTCTCCGAAGTTGGCACATGTGCCCCTCTTCAACTCATAATTTATCGTGGCACCTGCCTTTCAAGCTATCCATTAGTTGTAGTATGGATTCCTGATAGACAGATTCCCAGGTCGTGGAGTTCTAGCCCTCCCTGAACAGTAGGATTCTTCAGATCAAGTTTAGGACAAATGACGCATTCGGTGTTGGTGAATGTCCTTCTAGGAAGAGCCATGCATTCCACTTCCATCCAGATCATACCGACATTTTCTAAGCCCTACAATTGCATGCAAAGGCCAATCCATACATGTCAGTATTTCATCCTTCCCTGACAAGCATCATGAATCCGGAGAAAGGGAGGCTAAACTGCTCTGGACTCTGCACCACCAAGACATAATCCAGACTGCGCACGTGGTAGGCAGCCCCACTTGCTACTACATCACATCCACCCTGACTTTTCAGATAAAGACGGTAATGGAATTTTCCTATTATTTTGAATTCCTATCCGAGGGAGGGAGAGGAAAAAGATTCCGATCTCTACCCGTCGCACTGCACCCTGTCGGTAAACTAGAACTTTTATAATAGTACTAACCTATGACAACACTGCACAACGAGATCCTGCATGGGCACCAATGCTACCCCCACGTACGCTCGGACTCGAATCCACTTCCAGGATCTATACGACGTCGGTGCCTTGATGGGCTAAGCAGACTGAGTGCTCCAAGTAGGAACGTAGGGAAAAGACTGCCAGCATTCTGCTTGCTACGCTACCTCTGGCTCAGAGGAAGTTATACCATCTCGTCATGGGAACAGCCAACTAAGACGTTGACGCATCGCGTAGTGATGTAGTGTATAGAAACCACAGTTATCAGATCTTACCTATGCATGCACCGCTTATTGTGAAGGTAGTACAAACCAAGTGATACGTCAAATGCGTACGAACATCGATCTTCTGTGCTGACCTAAACGAGTTTTATCAATCAAATTCTTCTACACCCCAAAATATCCCACGATTTTTGTTGTGTTGGTAAAATTGTAGCAGTTGAATTCTCCTTTTTGTTAGGAGTACCACATCCAATGATCTTTTTAATCCTTTTTTCATGCTTATAATCGCCATTTGTTTTAATACAATATTTTTTTTAAACATTTGAGGCGATATTGAGGAGTGACTATTGTGCAGAGAACGCTAACAAAGCTTTTCCACTTTCCGTGCTCTGCACCGGCGACTTTTCCAAAATAGCTTTAGAAGATACATCTCAATCAGTACAAGAAGTCGACCATATTCGTGATTTTTTCTCAAGTACCTGGACATTGGCAATCAAGCACTTGCCATATTGGGAACGACAGCCTGGAGGTCCACCGCAACACGTGGGCTTCTTTCCACGGGGGAACTGTCAACAGAAAAAGCAGTCCTGTGGAGCACAATTTTTCAGTGCAAAACTTTTGCGGTTATGCTGGAGGTGGCTCTCAACTCACCTGATGCCAATTTACGATCATCTGATATTTGATTACGGTTCGTGATTCGTTATGACCTCAACTACTTTCAGGATGTTTCTGTACAGTACGCTTGGCCTGTACTTCTATCCACGAAGCACACCGCCTTGTCGACGATACCATCGCCTACAACAGTATCCAGAGAATGCATCATCCTATCAACAACATCTGGATACAAAGCGTGGGCATTTCATTGGTTCGATCAAGCTCGATCAACTGAAGAAGTTGAATCCACGTTCCACCATTTCCTAGTGAGTCTATCAGTTAATGGATTGGGGTCTTTTGAGCCAAGTGGGCTCATTTGTTCGTTTTATTATTTTCTTTTGTTCTCGCCCTGATTTTGAGCTACACTCCATTTCTTATCTTCCCGCTGTTTCTATTATATTTTTTATTGTTAGACAATTAGGATTTATCTGCGACTCTTTTCTTTACGAATAAGACGAGTTATACTCGGGTGTGAGTATTTTCTTATCTTACCGACAACACGCTAAGAATGATTCAGGCTGGTTCTGCTTAGTAAGAGCAGGCATGCCGCGTTAGTGGTTGGACCAATCGAGAAAAAAACCAGATGATGTAACCTCTGTTTGACCCGTCGAACAGTCAACAGAACAAACGGTACACAAGGTGACTGATTTGTGGTTTTTGACATGTCTTGTTCTTCTTTTGTAGAGTGTTGTTTACGCAAAGGTTTAGAAGGTTTTGCTAGTTCTTTTGTTAGCAACCTGAGAGCTTTGGGGAGGTCACCTATTTTGACACGTCTTCGTTCCCTAGCAGCAAATGTCTCCTCAGCGGACAACATACTCATGAGGTTTAATAAAATGTTATTGTGAAGTAGATGGCTACTCATGGGATGCCCTAATATAAGAAGCTGTCGGCGTGACCTGGAATTTTTGAGACGAATCAGTCCCTTTATTCAGCACATGATCACAACAACAAAAGCGTAACATTAGTAATCAGCATAGTGACCCTGCTTGGTCACGACATCTCTGCATCAACTGAGCAGCGCACGGATACTTTCCTCTTAGACGGGGAAACACCAAGACGCGGTTCAGTCATTGACTATAAATTAATACGTTGATGATAACGCAGAGGACATATATCCCGCGCTTTAAAAAGTTTCTTGTATTTGCTCCATGAGAGAGACCTTGACGTAGCTACAAACATAGTGGCCCATAGAATGGTCACGTATGCTTTAATTTAGAGGAGGATTTCTGAACCATACGAAATCTTCATTTAATAAATTTTTCGTTTACTTTTTCTTTTTATGAATGTGAAGATTTAAATAGTAGTAGTAGATACGGAACCTTAGGGATGACAATATGTGTGTTTTGATTGAAATAATCAACGTAAAATTGCTTTTGAGGTCCATTGCAGCTAGTTCTGACAAATTTCGCTTTTTCATTGTTATTCCATGTCTTTCGATCGAAATTCCACTACTGTACCCCTGGGTAGGTTGTGCTCATTACAATTTACTGATCTGGTTTTGTATTGATCATTATTTATGTATTTATCACTCAAAATCTGCTTGAACGACCTGAGGCGGCCGCGCCCGCAAAATCGCCGCGGTCCCACGTGGCCAAAAAAGCCAAAACTCGCGTTGTCGTCAACGTGTTAAGCCTCCTGTTAGATGCTGAATTTTTCCCTTTTTCTGTCGACCTCCAGATGAAGTAATCACTAGAGCTGAGGTCAGATAAATATAACGAGTTTAGTGAGCAAATGATGTAAAGTCTCTCCAGCCGTCCCTCATTCACTTGACGTAGCATGATCGGGTATTGTCTATCACACTGTCGAAATTGCCATTGAAGTGATGGAAAATTGGAGCTCGAGATATCATCTTTTGTAGTTGCTCACACAACGTTCTTGATGTTATGGGAGTATTCTTACGGAGGATGTGGTAACAGATGCACTCTTTGATGTGTTCGGTAATGAAGGCAAGTTTCACTTTCTTTTTCTTGCTATTTTCAGTCATTTGACATAGGCGCTTTGCTACTGCTGAGTTTTGGATAAATGCGGGAATTGCCGGAAAGTTGATGTCAATCAGTTATCGCTAGGATTGCTGTTTGAATAGGCGAACTAAAGAATACTCCTCTTTCCTATAGTGAGATCGGAAGTTCAGGTTTGGTCAGCATTCGGCTCTACATATAGGCAACCACTGATGACCGAGTGAGCTTAACAGTAATCTTTATCATCCTGTCAGAAGAAAGCAAACGGCAAGCTCCCTAACGAATAAATCCTACGACAACATGCCTGCTACCGACTGAATCACTGTTTCACATATCACTGCCACCACGATTGCCTCATGTTCACAACGTTGTGGGGAGGAGAAGAATGCATCCATAACTTTGGCATAAAAACCGTTTAGCATTCATGAAAAGTATCTTTGAAACCAGTGTCTCAAGATATATACAGCGAAGCACATCCCGTTCTGAATGGGCATGGCGACCTGGTTTTCTTCCTTTGCTTTGATCTAGTTGCTGGTGGAAAGGAAATGGTCGTTGCTCTGTTCATTCCTCCTATTCTTTTAGCACTATCTTTGGACAGTGGCTAGCACAAGGTAAGACGAGCACATCTGCTTCAACGATCTTCATGAGAGCGATTTTTTTAGAAAACCGATTCTGCCATCATAAACAGGTGGTAAGGTGTCACTGCTCATCGAAGATCATAACTCTTCCCGAGAACGATTGGCGAAGCTAGCAGAACGGTAGTAGCGAAGCAAAAGACGTTCTTCATGCTGATATCAGGACGAACTTAAAGCCACGAGTCAGGCTCAGTGGACCAAACCAATCACTTTAGTCGTCTATGTGCATGGCTACGCACCCACAGGGACGTTGCCATGCTCAGAATCTCAAAAGGCGCCGTAATAACGCCCCAGGGCATGCATTAAGCGCTCGCGCCGCCTGGAGGCGCTCCGGCCGCCCACCATGGGATGTGGTGCGTGGCTGGCCTAACGTGTGAGATCAGCTGAGTTGATTGCCGTATCAACCGATGGAACGGCTGGCATATCCAGAAAACTCGTTTGGACGTGACTCTCCCCCGAGCAAATCTCCTTCACTGCTAGAAGGAATGGGTTTCTATTTAGGTGTTGTCGACAGTTTTTTTTTCGTTTTTTCTTCACTATCGTTCCACCTCCCATCTCTAAACTCAATATCAGGTGCCATAATGCCGAAACACGAGCCTGACTTTTGCCTTTAATCGATACTCACTTACCATTGTGCAATTTGATAACGTTAGATAACGTTGAAAAGGAAGCGATTACGATAGATCTCAAAGGGGTTTAGAGGGGACGTGGGGGTCTCAATAGTACGCCAATGGCGAAAAAAGCAAAGAAATCCGTCGAAAATAAGCAAAATAGTACCCTTTGATTGCCCTTTCATTTTCGACCATGGAGCGACGGTAAAGAACGACGTTGTTCGGACGTGTTAACCCCGATAGCCGCCATCATGCCAACAAGCATAGTGTTTTGATTGATAAGGCAATACGTGGGCAAGTTGGAAGATACAGCCGCTAGAAGGGAAATGATCATCCAAAATGAAAAGCCAACAGCAAACAGTCCATCCAGATCATCAACAAAACTAGTGGGCGTCACGTCACTGGGGGCGGGGCGTCACGCGGGTCCTGCTCAGCAACCACAGCACCTTTCGCCGTGGGAGGGCCACACATCGCTTCCTTGGCAGCCAAGTAATTGCTCCGTGTGGCGCAGGTTCTCCCCCGATGCGAAAATTCCTTATCGTAATCGCTTCCTTTAAGCTATGGACGGACTATCAACAGCACCTTTCTTCCACTCGCTTAGTTTATCTGTTTTGCAGTGACACATCCGCACGCTTTCCTTTCATAGTTGAATAGAAGAATTTTTTGAAAATTCTTTAGGACACCCTAATGTAACGATGTATACACTATCCGTTAGAGGTCGTTATCACCGTAGAATAATTTGAATAGATCAAGAACCCATGTCTTGTTTTGAATGCTTTCCAGTAGAAATTAGAAGGAACACTCACTGTATTTTTTTGGAGATAGTGGTCAAGTCCACCGCCTGGCACCAATTCCATTACTATCATGGCCCTGTCATTCTCGATGACCATGCCGTAAAATGCGACTATGTTCCTTAATAATGACATCAATTACATTACCCAATAAATTTATGAATTTTTCTAGGCTCTCCGTTTAGCCATACTTTCCTGCTAGTGCCCAAAGCCATAATTATAGAATTTACCGAGGCACTACTCACAAAGTACAAAAATTTTTACAATGCATTCTTTTTTGCCACTATAACCATCCAGTGCACCACTTATACGGTCACTTACAAATGCTTGTATTGTCGTAATAGTCGTCCTTCCTTGTGCATTTCTAGCATCATAGCTCTATTTTCTTCCTTCACTTTTGTCTAAATAAAAGTTATGCATACTTTCAAACGACTGCTGTGGTACTGTAGTCTATCGCTGATGCCCCATGACTTCATCAATACGGACACCTATTAAATGCTGAGAATGATCACTCCACGTGTTCCACCCCTCTCTCACCCCACCCCCTTGTTTTCTTCAAGATTTGGGCATTACGGAGGGAACACAAATACGTTCCCAGTCCATGAATTTGGCGTTTTCGTCGAATGTTGATTTTTGGCGCTCGTTTTTACAAGCATGTGCATTCATGGGAATGTATTAGTGTTTCCTCTGTAATGCCCAATTCTTGAAGAAAAGCTAGATTAGGCGTACAAGTTTCAAGGAAAACCGTTCCTACACTCCAGACCATCACGGGAGAGTTAGTGAGGTGAATATTGCGACAATCCTATCCAAATGTTGTTTTTGGCGCTCACTTTTACAAGCATGTGCATTATATAGTTTCGGGACTGCATACTGTTTCCTTTTTGTACTATTTTGCGTCAAGCAGTACAATTTCTAAGTCATAGCTGCTTTGAGACTTACTACTTTGACAGCGACTGGTAGTGTTGTTGTGAAATGCTTCAAAGTTCCTTTCCACACTTCACCAAAAGCTCCTTCGCCGAGTTTTGAAACCATTGTGATCTTGTCCCTAGAGAGCTCCCATGCTTGCCTGGGGATAGGTCTCCCCAGCATCGCCTGTCCAGCTATAGGAATTCTCTCAGCGTAATGCTTCCTAAAATGATACTGCACTGTTTGGTGCCCTTCTTACGATTTCTGATCAGCATTCGATTCTCAGTGGGATTACTTAGTGACTCCAAACTTCCTCCAATGTGGCAGGTTGTCCCATAAGTGGTGTCGCTTTTTTTGAGGTGGCATCCTTTACTCCAACATCCTGCTTTTTCAATTTCACTTGTTTGTATACTATTCGAAAGAGAATTGCCTGGTTTACGAAACATGGTCCACTCGTTTGGATCCACTCGCTACTGCGCGGATGTCGAAGTAGGCTTCAGTAGGATTGATCATAGACCGGGCTCCCGTCTTAACGTCATGCATGTTTTTTATGAATGTTATTGATGTTATTAACCTGAAAGGGCCTTTCGTTGGCAATGCCAGTCACATCCATGAAAAACATGCATGACGACATGTTTCTGGAATTGACGAGCTGAAGGAAATGATTGAGTGATAAAGCAGTCATTTTGTCGTGACCGTCGCGTCACGCTCCAGGGACAGAAACACGCAAAGCATCCGCAATGCGCCCCGGTCCATACTTTCTTCAAAAAGCCCGCGCTCTCCAGAACCGCTGGCTTCTGGCTTCTATCTCCTTCGCAGTCAATCATCTGTCTGTCCGTACCGAGCTTACCGGTTCATTCATATCACCATTCGCTCGCACACCCTTCACATGCTTCAGATCTATCGCTTTAATAGGCTCTATATATCTATTACGATCACTTGGGCTGCTCACTGTCAACCCTTGGCGTTCGCAAATACCATGTTTCGTATTTCGCGATGGTTTAGCAGTTGAATAACTTCCTGAGCCGGTAACGTTGAATCAGAAACGCCATTCCTTCGAAATCTCCAAGAACATCTCTCACCTTGAGGGGCTCGCTGACGACGTAATCGCAGAAGAAGTGGAGTGTTTCTCGTCCCGCATCTGGATAACAAGTTTAGTGACCCTCAATTCTCAACCTAAGCGATCTTATGAGCCCTTATCAGCCATTACCACTCTCTGTCACCCACTAACTTTTTACCACGTTTTGTCACCCACCAAACATGCTCGCGTTTCCACCCTCTACATCATAACTAGGAAACTACCCCTCACTGCTGCTAGACCGTGCACTATGATTTCGCCACACTTGCACTCTAGCATTCCTTATCAGTAGTTCTCAGTTGTTATCACGTTCTGCTACCACCGAAGACGTTTCCTTCTCACCCACAACACATGCAATTAAAGGCGCTTCAATATCAACACGAGTGTCAAAGGAGTGTTGGCGACACTTGCTTTCTAGCCCTCTTATCAGCTCTTATGAATTGTTATCAGTTTCTACACCACTACTCGATGGTTGAGCGCTACTTTGTTGAAGCAAAACCTGAAAGTTTTTGTCGCCGATACAAATTCGTCGCAAATTGATGGATTCAGATCAAGTCACAACTAGATACGCCAGAAAAAAGTTTTTGGAGCAATGTTCTCATTCTATTTGCTTGGTCACCTTACTTCGCAAGCATATACATAGTTCTGCACAAAGCATAACGAAAGGAAAGCGAAACATAGATGCGAGTAACGCATAAGAAGCGCTTTCGCATGATCTGTGAAGCAATATGAAAACGTGGCGTTCCTGAGAAAAACACTGCTTTATAAAAAAAACACCGCCGTACTGCTGTCACATAGAAACGAGGAATCAGAACAATGAAAGGTACGACATGTTGAAGCGTTCAATTGTGGAATTTAAGAATTCGTGTCCGAGTGAGCAAT